CCACAATGCCTGGATAGTTTTTCTATCTTTAGTAGAGATGGTTTCTTGCTCTTGCTCAGGCTGGTCTTGAACCCCTGAGCTCAAGCAATCCACCTGCCTCAGTCTCCCAGGGTGCTAGGATTACAGGCATGAGCTACTACACCCAGCTCTTTTTTTATTTTTAAACATGGAGCATTTCACAAATTTACATATCATTCGCATTTGCCATGGGAATCTTCCCTGCATCATTCCAGTTTTAGTGTATGCGATTCCAAAGTCGGCACACAATCCTTACATTCTTCACACACCCACCACTATTTGTGAACAGAGAATCACCATCATTATGAAAGAAGACCCTTATCAGGGAAAAATCTGCCTCTGATCATTTTTCTATCCTCAATTCAAAGAGATGATTAATACTCTTACCTCGACTGAGACATTGGAAGAAGGCACAGGTGTGTACTGGGAAATGTAAGATCCTTGCACGGCTGCAGCTGTTGGCATATACTAGCATGAAAAACATCAAGAAGCTTAGAATAGTAGTTCTTGGCTACATTTAAACAGCTAGGGAGCTTTAAAAAATACGGATGCTTGTGTACTACAATTGGAGATTCTAATTAATTGATCTGAGTGTTGGGTTCTCAGCAGCATGTTGAGTGGTTCTAAAGCACAATGGCACTGTGTACACCGCTGGCTTCCTTCCCTCTCTGGTCTTCTGCTTTTCCTTAACACATGGCCTTTTCTGCCCTCATGTCCTCCTGTGCAAATCAGAATGCAGTAGGCCTAAAAGGAACCTAATTGAGCCCCATCCATTCATCCTGTTACTATTTGGATAAGGTTTTCTAGGAAATATGTTTATTTTAGGTAAACTAATATGCAAATAGAAACACCATTCATTTAGTTTCAGGAGTAGAAATCATTGACAGGGGTGGGTTAGGGAACAGACTGGCTGTATTGCTGGCTCATGGATTATTATCTCTTTATGCCCTGCTCTGAGTGTGCCCACAATGACACTGAAGTGATTCCCTCATCACTTATAAGTTATTTATGCTAAAGAGTATTATACAGGTATTCTTTGCTCTGCAGGAATTTATAATCAGAAATATCCTGCTTTACCGTGCCTGTGCTGCCGAGGGAGAGGTGGCCCAGTTGCTGGGTAAGGTGTCCCATCATGGAGGCAGGCTGGATAGAAATGGGGTGATCCATCCCCGGCGTCAGAACTGAACCTGAAGGCTGCACGAGGTACGACTGGTGGTGCAGCCAAGTCGGGTTAGGCACAGGCAGAGGAGACGTCTGAGTCACTCTCTGATATGAAGACACAGGAGGTGGAAGATACGGGGACAGGGCAGACTGAGCCAGCATCCTGTTGGGGCTGATGTTATAAGGGGCTGGATAAAACCTGCAGGAAGGAACCTCAATCAGCACCAAGTCACAGGAACACACAGGTAAGAGGCCTGGCTAATAATCATGGCCACTTTCCCACTAACTGCTATTGGAAAATCAAGATGCAACATCCGAATGCCTGGACACAGGCCATTGTCATTTTCAGGTCATGGGATTATGCAAAACACCCTTACCCATTCTGAAGTGCTGTGGTGGGGTCATAGGTCAAGGCCATACCACCCTATAAAGAAAGAACGCAATATTCGTATTGTAAGACCTCGGGTAAAAACAGGAGCAAGCCCAGACTACTAAAATTGGGAATGTATTTGGTTTAGCTGATTCAAGTCTGGACAAATCCTCCACTATAGCTGTTTCAGAGGTTTTCTGATTGTACAGGCTGCAAAATCCCACTCAAGACCCACAATGAGGCTGGGCGGAGTAGCTCACGCCTATAATCCTAACACTCTGGGAGGCCAAGGTGGGAGGATCCCTTGAGCTCAGGAGTTTGAGACCAGCCTGAGCAAGAGCAAGACCCTGCCTCTACATATACTGTAATAACACTCATCAAAAATCAAGTAGGTGTTTGATGAAAGTATTTCAAATTGTATGTTAAAACACCACACTGTACCCCATGATTGCATTAATATACAGAGCTATCATTTAATTAAAAAAAAAATCAAGTAGGTGAGGGCGGCGCCTGTGACTCAAAAGGGTAGGGTTCCGGCCCCATATGCCAGAGGTGGTGGGTTCAAACCCAGCCCCAGCCAAAAAAAAAAAAAAAAAAAAAAAAAATCAAGTAGGTGAGTGAGAGGAAGAGAAGATGGGTAAATTCTCACTTAACTAGTACAATGCACACTATCTGGGCAATGGCCACACTTATAACTTTGACCCAAATGGTATAAAAGTAATGTACATAACCAAAACATTTGTACTCTTATAATATTCTGAAATTTAAAATAAAAGACCCCAGGCTCAGCACCCGTAGCACAGTGGTTTCAGTGCCAGCCACATACATTGAGGGTGGCGGGTTTGAACCCAGCCCAGGCCAGCTAAACAACAATGACAATTGCAACAAGAAAATAGTTGGGCTTTGTGGCGGGTGCCTGAAGTCCCAGCTACTTGGGAGGCTGACACAAGAGAATCACTTGAGCCCAAGAGTTTGAGGTTGCTGTGAGCTGTGAAGCCAGGGCACTTCTACTGAGGGCAACATAGTGAGACACTGTCTCAAAAAAAAAAGACCCCATCTCTAAAAATAGAAAAATTAGCCAGGTGTCATGGCATGGGCTAGTAGACCCCACTACTCATGAGGCTGAGGCAGGAGGATGGCTTGAGCCTGGGTGTTTGAGGTTGCTATGAGCTATGATGATGCCACTGCACTCTACCCAGGGTGTCAGAGTAAGACACTATCTCAAAAGAAAAAAAAAAGACCCGTAATGAAGAGTCCATGTTAACAGTCCGAATCTCTCAGTTACATATTGTAGCTCTCAAGCTTGTCATCTAAGCTCACAGAAGTCAGGCCATGGTGACTTCTATTCCACTTCAATGTCCTTAGCACTCCTGTCTCCTTGGAGGTCCTCTTACCATGTCTCCATTCCTAGGCCAGGCCCGTCCATTCTGCACAAATTTTCCTTGGTTCTGTCGTTTCTTTGGTCCACCATCAGCAAATTTGCAAAGCAATGGATCAGATGGGGCTGCCAAGAGAGAAAGCGGATGGGCAGCTGAGTCCCACCTCGTTTGGCCCACTCACATTCATGCAAAACTCCTCCAAAATCTTCACTGAGAGTAACAATCTGTGGCCCTTTCAGCCTGATTCCCAGATGCCTCACCTGGTACTCCAGGGGGTGTCTTAATATATTTTCCATTAAAGTAGGTGATGATGGCTTCGCACTTCTCTGTGGACTCCATCCTAAGGAGCACAAGAGGGGTTAGGCTCCAGCTTCTCCAGGATCTGAGCATTCCATACAGTCATTGAGAAATCTCTAAGTTCCCAGCCTCATAAATGCTCTAAATGTTATCACTATAGAAACATAGAGTTTCTGTCAGACAAATTCAAGTTATCTTGAAAAGGCAACCCCAGCTTCTAATGAAGTTTCTCTCAACTGGCCTTGATAGGGGATCCTCAAAGGAATAATGGAAGTCTTCAAGCTATTAATATTTTAAAGATGGATGGGCCTCCTGTCATGTCTGGTACATAAATTAGAATATAACACACCTTAGCAGCTAGGGCACCAGCCACATATACTGGGGCTGGTGGGTTCATACCCAGCCCAGGACTGCCAAACAATAACAACAACAACAACAACAACAACAAATAGCCAGGCATTGTGGTGGGCACCTGTAGTCCCAACTACTTGGGAGGCTGAAGCAAGAGAATCACTTAAGCCCAAGATTTTGATGTTGCTATGAGCCATGGCACTCTACCGAAGGTGACATAGTGAGAATCTGTCACAAAAAAAAAAAAAAGATAAAAGAAATAGTAGTTGTTACTATTAATTTTTATTACAAAATTTCTAATGGAAATGGTTTCTTTATCCCAATAAAACTGCACAAACTAAGAATTTGCCAATATTTATTTTTGTTTCTGGTTATAATTATCGAGGTCTAATTATCTACTGGTAACATCACTAAGATTTCACAAGTCTGTGGAAGGAAAAGTAATTAGAAAGGGTTTATGGTCCAGAGTGATAGAAAAAGGACGGTGGGGTGAGGCGGATGGCGCCGGTGGCTCAGTGAGTAGGGCACCGGCCCCATATACTGAGGGTGGTGGGTTCAAACCCAGCCCCAGCCGAACTGCAACAAAAAAATAGCCGGGCGTTGTGGTGGGCGCCTGTAGTCCCAGCTCCTTGGGAGGCTGAGGCAAGAGAATCGCCTAAGCCCAGGAGGTGGAGGTTGCTGTGAGCTGTGTGTCACCATGGTACTCTACCCAGGGGGACAAAGTGAGACTCTGTCTCTATAAAAAAAAAAAAAAGGAAAAGGATGACGGGAACTACTGAGTTGAAGTTTCTTACTGAGGACAGGAGACTAAGTAAGGAACCAGAAGATCTAGATTCCAGCATCAGTTTATGACCCAAATCTCTGTGAGTTAGGATATTCACAAAACCCCTCTGGACCCATTCCTCATGTGTACTATAGAGGTAATATCCATCTGCGCTACTACACAGCATTTTATAGCTCAAATGAGATAATGTGGATTCATGTATATACATGTATTGTAGAAATTATACAGGCCTGCATAGTATCTTCACCTATTTCCACATTTAAAGTAAGACTCAGTATGTTTTCTATGCCAATAACCACAAAAAATATAAACCACTTCTACATAGGAGTAATTTTATTTTATTTATTTTTATTTCATTTATTTATTTATTTTGAGACAGAGTCTCACTTTCTTGCCTCTGGTAGAGTACCATCGTATCTTAGCTCACAAAACCCTCAAACTCCTGGGCTCAAGTGACTCTCTTGCCTCAGACTCCCAAGTAGCTGGGACTATAAGTGCCCACCACAACACCGGCTATTGTTTTGAGACGAGGTCTCACTCTTACTCAGACTGATCTTGAACTCCTACCCTCAGGCAATCCACCTGCCTCAGCCTCCCAGACTGCTAGGATTACAGGCACAGGCATGAACCACCATGCCCGGCCTCAAAAGGATATTCTTTTCAATAAATGGCGAGGGAAAACTGGATATCCATATGCAGAAGAATGAAACTAGAATCCTATGTCTTACCATATACAATGATCAAATCAAAATAGACAGAAAACTTAAATCTAGGCGCTGAAACTATGAAACTACTAGAAGAAAACATTGGGAAATATTCCCAGACATGGTCTGGGCAAAGACTTCTTGTGTAAGAAGAAGGGAATCAGAAAGGGTTCAAAAAGGATGGTCGGAACTACTGAGACACAGGCAACCAAAGCAAAATTAGACAATTAGGAGTCCATGGAGCTAAAAAGCTTCCCACAACAAAGGACACAATAACCAACACAAAGAGACAACCCCAAAGAACAGGGGAAAATACTTGCAAACTAGCCATTTCACTATACACCAACAATGTTTGTTGTCTTATATATTGTATCTAGTATTTCCTTTTTTTTTTTGAGACAGAGTTTCACTTTGTTGCCCTCAGTAGAATGCCATGGTGTCACAGCTCATAGCAGCCACCTCAAACTCTTGGGCTCAAGCAATCCTCTTGCCTCAGCCTCTCAAATAGCTGAGACTATAGGCACCTGCCAGACGCCAGGCTAATTTTTCTATTTTTAGTAGAGATGGGGTCTTGCTCTTGCTAGGCTGGTCTTCAACTCGTGAGCTCAGGCAATTCACCCGCCTTGGCCTCCGAGAGTGCTGGGATTACTGGCGTGAGCCATCATGCTTGCCATCCTTTTCTGATAAGGATTAATAACCAGAATATATAAAGACCTCAGACAGTACAGCACAAGAAAGCCAATTAAAAAATGGGCAAAATGGGTGGGGCCTGTGGCTCAAAGGAGTAGGGCACCAGCCCCATATGACGGAGGTGGTGGGTTCAAACCCAGCCCTGGAAAAAAAAATGGGCAAAAGATCTGAACAGATATTTCTCAAATGATAACATACAAATGGCCAAAAAGCACAAGAAAAAATGTTCAACATCACTAATCATCAGAGAAATGCAAATCAAAATCACAGTG